TTATTTCCATATCATATTTCACATTTATTATTTTAGTTTCTTAGTAGAATACAAGGTAAGATCACTTATAAATATCTAATGGTAGAAAAATGATTCCTTACATGAAAGTATCTCACTTGAAAACCTATTTTGCTGCCATAAAAAGTAAAAAGTTAAGTCATGTATGCAAATGTTTAGGATAAACTTAAAAAGCAGAACTCAAATTGTATTAAGTAATTATCATAACCATATATTATATATTTCCACACAAGAATTGAAAAGGCAGGAAACAAATCAATGTAATAAGGGAAGGACTTTGAGCATTTTCATTGTTTAAAATGTTTTATAACTTTTATTTAACTTTTAGAAGTATATATAGTTTTACTGTAAGAGTTCTAAATATACATTTCAGGATTTCAAAGAGGCATTGGTATTCCTGTGTTCACTGCAACCTTATTTACAATAGTTAAGATGTGGTGTCCACCAGTGGATGAATGGATAAAGAAAATGTGGTATATGCAGACAATGGAATATTATCCAGTTTTAACAAAATGAAGGAAATCCTGCCGTATATGACAACATGGATGAAACCTCAGGATAGGCTAAGTGAAATAATCCAGTCACAGAAGGAAAAAATAGTTTTTGGTTCCATTTATATGAGATATCTAAAATAGTTAAGCGCTGAGAAACAAAGTAGTGGTTGCTATGGACTGGCGTAGGAGAGAAATAGAGAGTTGCTATTCAATAGGTATATATTTCAGTGCTAGAGGAGGAATCAGTTCTAGAGGTTTGTTGTACAGCACTCTGCCTATAGTTTACAATACTGTATTGCATACTTGCAAATCTGTTACAAGGGTAGATCTCATGTTAAGGTTAGATTCTTAATGTCATGGATGGAGTTCAAGGAAGTCTTCCAAAGAAGAGATGGAGTCTTCAACTCAGCCCACTGAGTAGGTTTTTGACTCACATAACAGAAAAATAATTTCAGGATGCATCAGAATGGGGGCATGAATCAGATTTACTAAGCAGAATTAGAAAGTAAGGGAGAATAAGAAAAAGACTCCAACATGAGTAACTGGAGAGGGTACACTCTAACGCAGGGGTTTAGACTGGCCTCACAAAAGGATGAAATCGGCTTTTAAGGTCTAGCTAAGATGGGCCAGGGTCTAGTTGATCATTATCTTAGTTCTAGTCTCAATAGCTCCAGAGGAATCCTTATGGCTTGAATGGCAATTTGTTTCTCATGAGATGATTGTCCTTGCTCAAGAAGGGGCTGTCTTGCTTCCTGTTATGGGATAATTATTCCTGCTTGGGGAGAGGTGATCTCATCATGGGGTGGTCTACCATGTTCTGTCTTTACTGGGACCTAAGGTGAGTGCAAGTTTAAGGCAATGTTTGGAGACTTCTAGGCACTGCTCCAGGAGGGTCTGGAACTGGATGTTGGGAAAACTAGCAATTGAACCTTGTAAACCTTGAAAATTACTTCAGTTACTCTTTACTTTGCTTTAGTTATTCTTGTCTTCTTGTTTTCAGTCTTGAAGGAGGATAAGATAGACTAAGTAAATTTAGGGATAATGAAACTTGTAATATAAACACTTCTTAAATGATTAACATGCCTACATGCAGAGCTGAGCAGGGAGCTGATGAAGTTTTAAGGTAATAAAAGAGACTCAAAAATTGAGTTTCCTTGCCTTCCTTCTATATACCTTTATTTCTTTAATCCTACATATAAATATTTTTGTTGTAAATTTTACCTGTTCTGAAAAATCCAGAGGATTATTTTAGAAGATTACATGCTGTGTTTCTTAAAACACACTTTGTTCTTCAGTGGAGGAAATGAAACAAGATAATCTTTGTTATGGTTTGGATTTTAATATCCTTTAAAGGGCATGTGTTAAAGGATTGGTTACCAGCGTATAGCACTATTGGGAAGAGGTGAGGTCTAGTGGAAGGAATTTAGGTTATTGGAAGCATGTCCTTTAAGGGGATATTGGGACACTGGCCTTTATCCATTGTCACTTCTCTGCCATCATGAGTAACAGCTTTACTTCACTATTCCCTTCCTGCCATGATGTTCTGCTTCATCAAAGGTCCACAGTGACAAGGCCAAGTGACTGTAGGCTGAAATCACTAAAATTGAGTTGAAATAACTCTTTTCTCCTTTTAAATCAATCTATCTCTAGTACTTTGTCACAATAATAGCTGAGCAACAATAGAAAGCTGCAAATTGGTAACTAGAAGTAGGGTTACTGCTGTGACTATACCTGATAATGTTCAGAAGCTTTTGGAATTTATTTGTAGGAGGAATTTGGGGGAAAAAATTGGAGAAGCAGGCTAGAGAAAGCCTAAAATGCTGTAAGCAGATTGCAATGAATAATTCTGTGCCTATTCACAAGACCAGAGCACTGATAGAAATGCTGGCAAAAAAGGTCAGCCTCATGAGATGGAAATGAGAAGAGTAAGGGAAATTATTGAAAACAGAAATAATAGATCAGCCTTGAATGTATAACTAAATCACTCTGGTGTGTTGTGCTCTTTTAAGTTTACTTAGCACTTCAACATAATTTTCATTTTCATTCCAAGAGTTGATCTTTCTTCAAATATCTCATTCATTTACTTTTATTTTTTCTTGAGAAAACTACAAAGAAGAAAAATTATTTTAATCTATTCATTGAACAAATATTAAGTACACATTATTGATTCAAAAGGCCTGTGAAAATAAGCTTAGAATATAGGGAAATTAAAAACGAGCTGCACTATAAAACAATACTTAGATTTACAGATTTATGCAAAACTTTAATTGTGTTTTTCAAGCTATCTGGAGGAAATTGAAGGGATTTGTTTTCCACTTATAAAAGGACCATTGTATAAAAGAAGCATGTATATACTTTTTTTAACTGACTCAAAAGACTTAGATTAAACTCCTATTACTAGTTATGCCAGTTAAACAGCATTTGAAAAACAAGTTTTGAGGTGCCTCTTATTACCAGCCTGCAGAAATCTGCTGTTAACTATGAAGGCAGGAGGTCCTATCTTTCAATAATGAGAGATGCTAATATATCATATTTTAGGAGAGCTAAAAATGAAATCTCTCAAGCAGAAAATTATGATACAATGAAAGTCTGACATATTGTTGGTGTTCATCTGATAAAAAGGTGTCATACACATATACACAAGTTATAACATAATACAAAATAAACTTTCTTCATTTCCTCATTGCCTTTCTGTAATCAGACTTGTTTTTTTTTTGGTACCGGGTGTCGACCTCAGGACCTTGCACTTTCAAGGCAGGCACAATGCCACTGAGCTAAATCCTCGGCCCCAGACCTTTTGATTAAAGACTTTTAATTCAAGTCTTCCAATTTTTAAAAGCACAGAATTCTACATTGTTAAATTTCCATAATATATTTCTCAAGAACTACTTTTCAAATAAGGAGGAATTATTCTTATTAGTCAGACATTTAAAAGAAGTAGAATTTTACATACAGTAAAATTGAAATTGCTTTGTAGAACTAGAAGGGAAATTTGTGCACTGGAATTTTTCTATAATTTGTTCAAGTTGGAGATACTTTATATCATTGAAAAAGTATGAAACAGAGCATAATGTCGTATGTCCAGTATGCTTTGACCAAGTAATACTGAGGCTGATTTTTTTCAGACATAGTTACACAGAATACATATCTTCCTCAGCAAGGAGCAACAGAGTGAGACTAGCAAGAGTGAGTCACATGACCATAGTCAAAGCTGCCAGTACATTTTTTCCATTTCATGTGCTCGTAGAAGGGAAAAATTGGAAAAGCAGAGCCATTCGGAATGTTAGGATTTTTACACTCTGTAAATTGCAGTACAACTGTATTAGGATTACTTATGAGACTTCAGTTCTAATGCTTGAATTTCCTCTCAACCCAACTTATTAAAATATATTGAAATACCCAGAATTACGAGGTTAATTTCTCCTATATAATTGGATAGCTTAACGTGGCATTTATTCCTTCCTAGACTTTAAAATCATAGTATTCATGGAGGAAAAAAAAATTCAGACTTAAAAGAATACCAGAGGGAATATTTCTATGGATAATTTTATTTAAGCTGGACTGTTTATTGCCTTAGTGTCTTTCTAATGAAATGAAAGTCGTACTTAATTTTCTTGAGTGTTTTGTGTTGGCTCTAAATTAGCAGTCATATTCTCAGGACTTAGCCTTTAATGCAGTAAAATGTTCATTGAGCTTCATCTTAGTCCTTCTACTCTGCTAAGTGCATAGATGGTTTTGAAAAACATTAGACTTGACTCACGTCCTTGAGGAATTGGTCAAAAGGTAAGGCTTGTGTGCCATGCCAATCAACCACTTCAATGAAAATAAACTTAGAACAATGCCTAACATTTTTTATGTGCTCACAGTGTGCCAGAAGCTTTGGATGAATTATCTCATATAAACCTAAGATAGTCTGAGTATTATAAAGCAATCTTAATTTACACCTGAGGAGGTTTAAAGGAGTTATAAAATTTGGCAGTCAAAAAGATATATGTTTGCATCTGCAGTGTAATCTCGGGTTGCTGGGACTCCACTGCCATAGTGATTCTGAAGCACACAGACTTGGATGACAGGGAACAAAGACTCAGCCCTAATTTTGTCCCACTGTAGGCCTGGCTGGCCACATCTCATGACAAAACTCGCGCCAGGTTCTCAGAACAAACTTACTCTTGACAAGCCAGGGCGAGGTGTGGGGGAAAACGGGCTGTGAAGTATTTTTAAATGCGAATGTTATACAGGCCCGGGAAGATATGTGTGTGGTTCCTCTTTGCAGCACAGACACTTGCCCGACACCGACTTGGAAAAGCAACAAGCTCTGTGGGAGACCCCTAGGCTCATCCTGGGCCTACGGGAAGGCAGATACCCCTATCCCCTCAAAGCTCAAGGGCTGACTTAGGGACTGCGGGTGCAAGTGAATGCCAACGCTGCTACCTCGGTCACGCCGAGACCTTCCCCTAGACCCAGGCAGTCCTGTGCCGAGTGGGGTTCTTGAGCGCCTCCCAGCCTTGCTTGTCAAGCTGCAGCTGGCAAGGGGCGGTGACGCGCGGGAGGCCGGAGGACGTCAGGGACGCGCGGTCGAGCCTCCAGCCCGCCCCCGAGTGCCTTCCGGACTTTCTTTGCCGGTGACGCCGCGGCCCGGGCAACCGGCACTTGCTAGTCGGCGCGCGCTCTGCAGAAGTCCAGCTCCTCGCGCGGCGGGGCCCGAAGATGGCGGCCTGCAAACTCTTCTCCTCGGGGCTTCGGCTCAGCGCCTCCTCCCGTAGCTCTGGGGCTGCCTGGTCCAAGGTAAAATGAGGGCGAAGAGGAAGCGAACGCGAGCGGGGCCCGCGTTTTCTCCTTTGCCCATCCCCACCCTCTGCAGCCCGGGAACTCGTATCTGCAGCTCGGTGCCTCGGGCACGGGCACCCGCGAGGGGGTCCTGGCCTCGCCGCCCCTTCGGATGGCTGCCTTTGCTTGGTTCTGCATCCTGGTCCCCATGGGGCGAGATAACACCGAGCAGCGCACGGAGAGGCTGAGGGCGGGAGACGCCGGGCTGGCGCGCGGCCCCGGAGGGCTGACAGACTCCGGTCTCCTGGAAGAGGCGGCCGCGATGGGAGAGGAGGGCGCCAGTTCGAGGGGCTTGGGTGAAGGCATCGGGAGCAAGTCTGCGCGCATCTCGGGCATCTCCTGGCACGGGCGCCGTAGAGGCCCAGCCACCGGCGCTGGCCAGGCGCGCGGGCGCGAGGGCACCGCCAAGTGGGCGGATGCTGGGCGCGGCGCGGGTGGAGAGCCGCTCGCGTCCTCGCCTTCCCTATACGGCTGTGCGCTCCGCGGTGGTGGGAGAGCGAACCCGGACTGGAGCGTTCGCCCGGCGTCTGGCCCGTAAAGCTGCTGGGAAGCCGGCCGAGGTCCGGCCATGGCCTGAGTAATGTTCGCGGGTGCAGACGCCCTTCGCTCCAGGGCTGTGGATCAGGTTTAGGGACTCCGTTTTAAAAGCCCCTTGAAAATACTGTTCCACCCTTACTGCCAACTCTCCACGGTGTAGTATCCAGGGACACTCAGTGGAGATTAGGTCGATTCATATTTTTGCCCTATCCTTGCCTCTAAGACCCATGTTCCTGTAGGATTCCTATCTGGAGTCCTAAGAGCTGAGTATTATTGGAACAGGACTCCAGGTTCACAGGGGAGGCTTTGCCTTGGCTGCTTCAGGACTCTCAGGAGCATTTTGTTGAATATGTTCTTAGTAACGTTGACTAAAAGCTGTGGACTTGATAGCGTGCTTGCACACTGTGTGTGTGTGTGTGTGTGTGTGTGTGTGCGCGCGCGCGCGCGCACTCGCGCCTACAAACTTGGATCATTTAATTCTTAAATTCCTTTTAAAAGGATTTTGCTAATTGCAGATAACTTTGGGTATGTCAAGCATTACTAAAAAGGGAACATGACCTTTAAACAGATTGCTGCAGGTACTGAAGCTGATGGAAAAACCAGGACACAAGAATACCCTTGGGCCAAGGTTAATAATATTCTCTTTTGGCAGTTACTTGTTTGTCTAAGTACTGTTTACTCACCTCCAGCCTTTCTCATCTTGAATATAATCATTAAGCCATTTCCAAAGCCCAGCAAACCTCTTCAAGGGGGATGCACTACAATTAAAGATTTTGTTGTATCTCACTGAAAGTTCACACCAAAGTCCAATCTTTTATCTTTCAAGAGTGATTATCATAGGTCCAACTCCTGCTGTCCAGAATATTCCCCCAGCTCATGGCATTAGGTGCCTCCACTGTGTATTTAGTGCCTGAATTTTTACCTCTCATTTCTTCTTTTAAAAAATTAATTTTATTGGTACATTCTAGGTATACAGTATAATGACATTCATCATTGGAAATTTGCACCATTACATAATCTCTCTTGGTTCTTATTTTTTTCCCCCTTCCCCTGCCCTCCCTTCAACCCCTCCATCCCTCCCTATTTACAAAGATTTTGTTTCCATTTTTTTTCATTTTCTCATATTAATTCCATTCCCTTCTTCCCTTTCCCCTACCCCTCCCACTTCCCCTTCCCCTTTGCCCCTTTTCTTCCTATTTTACCTCTCATTTCTGCTGAACTGTAACACTTGTGTCATTGGTAACTTTGGGACGATATGGTGGTGCCTAATTCTCCATTTCCCTCAACATTACACTCCACTGTGCAAAGAAAAGCCGTTCAACACGTTGAATACATAGATGAGAGAACACCACAGCCAATTTAGTAACTTTGGAAGTTTTTCTACTATATATAACCAATAGGGTACAATCCTCTCTACAGGGGGGAAAAAAATGATGGGCAGGTAAATTTGTCTGGCATACACCAGAATTCCTAGGGGCTTTATAAAACGTATTGCTATGCTCCCCTCCAGAGTTTCTAATTTAGTAGGTCTTGGGACGAGACCTCTAGTTTGTTTTCAACATATACAGCCTCCTGTTGGTGACATGCCCCTCCTGGCAAGCTTGTAAGTGCATGTATTCACCTCCATATCACTGTCTTCTCCTTCTAACATGGCTCTCTTCACCTCAGACCATGTGGCCTCTCCTTCCCACTGCTATTAATCAAACTGTGATACTGAAGTAGGCAATACAGTATTAGACTTTCTGTGCCGTGATTTATTTAACAGTAAGGTGACAAGGTAAATAACACCTGTGTATACAGTTCTGTTTCATTAAGGTACTATTTATTTAAAAATAAAAAACAGTATGCTTTGTGTATTTTTACTGAACAACTGTCAGAAAGAAGTGCATTTTCACTAAGTTCTAGATTGTTGAATGGCAGGAAAGAGATTTAGGTGAAAGAAATAGTGATGGCAGCAGTTAGAAAGGAAGGAAACGCTGGATGACGAAGTCGAGCTGAAATTTAGATGCAATAGTAGAATAAAACTTCTGAGGTTAGGTATAAAAATGTGAAGAAGGTGAGGAAGGTGAGGAAGATGTTAAAAAGAGAAATATTTTAAGTAAAAAAATTTTCACTATAGGGATTTTTATTGTTTCTTTCACTTCTGTACTCAGTTATTATTATTTTTTTCCCTCCATTGTAATAGAAGAGACTAGTACCAACAATGAAATGGAGTTCTCCTGAGGTAGGAGGGTGGAAAAGCAACATAAAATACTTTATGTGAATATTAAAGGAAGACCTGGGTGAAAAAATTGTACTCAGAATAACCTATGTCAAAATTGTACATTTCATTACTCCTCATTCTTATAGGTAGTCTCTGAAAACTTGAAAGCTATTTATTTAGTTGGTAGCAGCTGGTGAATTTTTCAAAACACCACTATGTTAATATATAAAATATATTAGAAGGTAGAGGTTGAATTAGGAAAAGCTTAAAACTCATCTTTGAATTCAGTAATCTAGGATAAAAGTTAGATGTTACGAGAGATTTTTGCTTAGCTTACTTAATCTTGGATGGTCTTGGCAGTAACATGGATTTTCACTCCCAGAGACAGAGCTCAGATGGGAAATAGGAGCAGAGAGGAAGCTGGTTAAGGTTACAAACCCAAAAGCTGCCTCTAACAAGCTGCCTCAGCAGGTCCTAAGCTGCTCCCTGGGCTTTGGGCTTTGCGTGTCCTCAGTGGCACCACTAGCCTCAGGCAGTCTGCTTCCTCTTTATCCCACTGTCTGTACCAACACTGCTGGCATGCTCTGTGATCTTGGAATGTCCAGACTGATAAACCTGACTGCAAATGAAATGGAGGTGTTTTCTGGCCACTGTGGTATGTGCCCATAGTTCTAGCTACTTGGAAGGCTGAAGCAAGAAGATCCTTGGGCTCAGAAATTCAGGACCAGCCTGAGCCATAGTGTGTGGGTCATGTTAAAATTTTTTGTGTTATGTGAAATCAGTGATGTGTATGCATGTATGTAGGGCTGATTGGGAGGTTAAAAATTAAAATTAAACTCCAGTAAATGACATATTGATCTTTCTGTAGTCCAGGCACAGAGATTCTGTATATATTATTATTTATTCCTCACTATATCCTAGGGAGACAGTTGTCATCTTTTTGTGAAATCAACTATTCAGTGGTTAAGTAATTTTCTCAGATTGGTACAATTGTGACTGAACTGGGATTTTTAACCCCAGGAAGTGATTAGTTTTCTGAGGATAAAAACTGTTTTAGTAAAAGTTAGTTTCTTGGCAAATAGTAAGTAGATATCAAATATCAATATAACATATAGCAAATGTCAACAAATATTGCTGTATGAATAGTGATAAAACCAGAATTGAGTTGCCTATAAGTTCTTCACTATCTTGAACCCTTCTCAAGTACTTGGAAATATGTCACTCTTACTGCTTTTAACTTTTGAGGATCTGGATAAACTTATGTTTTTTAAAAAATTTATTTACTTATTTCTTCCTCCTGGGAAACACCTAGGACCTTACTCATGCTAGGCAAGTGCTTTGCCACTGAATTATAGCCCCAGCCTGATGTATCCCTTTCCTAAAACTCTTCTGAAAATTTTGGGGTGGAGTGGAATAAACTGCTGAGTAATTTCTGATCATTTGTTATGAAAACACTAATTCTCAGCTAAAACAAAGAAATGGATTCTTCAAAATCCTATGGCTATGTGGTTTCACTTCTGTTCATGTATCTGAAAACCTCTGCCTGTGTGGGGAAATGAATTTTCTTCCAACTTACTTTCTGTAGGATTTCCATTTTTCAGTCTACAGAGAAATACCTTAGTGACTCCTTACCAGACTGTTTGGGTATAGAGGAATTCTTTCATTTTCTTCCTTTATTATTAGGTGGAGATGATAGCAGAGTTCTGAATAAAAAGTTAGAACACTCATATAGATTTGTCATGTGTAAATAATGAAGTGGAAGTAGAATACAGTAGAGCCTTTTTAGAAAACAGAGAAGAGCATATTGCGGTGGAAGGATTCTGTAATAGGTGTCAAAATCTGGAATCTTGGTTGCTTTAATACAATTTTGGAGAAATTGAAAGATCTTGCTAAGGTTCAGAAACTTGATCTGTAAAATGAGTTGGTTGGATTAGATACCTGTGTTTTTACCCTTTTTTTCTGAGATATCTCAAGTTTATTTTACAGTCCATCTGTGAGTTTGAGTCAGTCTACCAAACTTTTAATTTCTAAGAGTAAAAATGTGTGTGTGTGTGTGTGTGTGTGTGTGTGTGTGTGTGTATTTAAAGCAGAAGCAAAAAATCTGGGTGTAGTGGCACATGTCTGTGATCCAGCACTCAGGAGGCTGAGGCAGGAGGATTGTCTTGAGTTCAAGGCTATCCTGGGCTACATTGTGAGTTCAGGGTCAGCTTGAATTACAAAGCAAGACCCTGTCGCAAAGATCCCCCAAACAAACAAAAACAAAACAAACAAACAAACAAAGAGAAGCAAAAGAATCCTTGCTACTTGAGGACAGGAAAGAGAAAAAACTCTGCATGGCTCAAACTTTCCCCTTCTATCTCTGCCTCCACTTCTGTCCCAGCTCCTCACCTGACCTTTACCAAAATAGAAACCTAAAGGAACAAATGTCATGTGTATAATCTCTACTGGTTTAATGTCTCCTTTGATTTTCTTTCTGTGTAGTTCTCTTAATAGTCTTTTGTGCTAATTGACACTTTTTTATGAGAATAGTTTCTAGGGGAAGAGAAAAATGATAATCATTATACTATAACTCCAACCTTGTGTCTGTCTGGTAGATGGTTGGTTAGGAAGTGAAATGAGTGTGAGCTTGCAGCTGGATTTGTAAAGGTGGCAGTGTGTCAGGATTCAGGTATCTTTTTCTCTACACTCTCTTCACAAGTTGATTATACAGTGTAATGAGGTTAAAGGAGAGGTAATGTTCAGTATGAGTGATTGGTTGCCACAGAATTTGCTCTCTCTTTTTTCTTGTCCATATTGTGGATGGAGTATAAAGAGGAAAATAATTTACAACCGATTGTGAGTGCTCACTAGATGACTCATTTGGAACCTGTCTTAATCTGTTTTCTGTTGCTATAACAAAATATGCCAGACTGGATAATTTATAAAAGAAAGAAGTTCATTTAGCCCACAGTTCTGGAGGCTGGAAGACCAAAGTCCGGTGGCTGCATCTGCTGAAGGCCTTGTTTTGGGTTTAGGACACAGCAGAGAAGCAGAAAGGCAAGCAGGTATGCAGAAGAGGCAGAGTGCAAGGGGCAGCCTAACTTTATAACAGCTCAAGCTTGCAGTATCTAATCCAGTCCTCTGAGAACAAGAACTTACTTTTCTAAGAATTAACCTAGTCCTTAGAAAAGGGACAAAGGGGAAGGGGAAGTGGGAGGGGTAGGGGAAAGGAAAGAAGGGCATGGAAGTAATATGAGAAAATGGAAAAATGGAAACAAAGTCTTTGTAAATAGGGAGGGATGGAGGGGTTGAAGGGAGGGCAGGGGAAGGGTGAAAAATAAGAACCAAGAGAGATTATCTAAAGGTGCAAATTTCCAATGATAAATGTCATTATATTGTATACCTAAAATGTACCAGTGATTAGAATGAATAACTGATAATGCAACATAGGAAGAAAAGGTCCAAAGGGGTAGGGGAAGTGGGAGGGGCAGGGGAAAGGAAAGAAGGGAAAGGAAAAATTATGAGAAAAGGAAAAAATGGAACCAAAGTCTTTGTAAATAGGGAAGGGTGGAGGGGGTGAAGGGAGGGCAGGGGAAGGGGGAAAAAATAAGAACCAAGATACATCATGTAAAGGTACGAGTTCCCAATGAGAAATGTAAATATGTTGTATACCTAAAATGTACCAATAAAAGAATAATAAAAAAGGAATTAACCTAGTCCTTGAGAGCAATATTAATCCTTCTTTGAGGACCCAAATACCACGTAAATGTCCCACCACCTCTCAACACTTACACTGGGAACTGCATTTCAACCTGAGTTGTGGAGGTGACAACAAAAAAAAATCTCCAAACCATAGCTGCCAAATAGTGCATTGCCATAAGGGTACGGTAGCCTTCCTTGTAGATAATAGGTTTTTACAATATCCATGAACCAGTGCCATAGGAAGACGGGTCATTTTGTGTGTTATTCCTTACTTGCTGTTCTTTTGGGAAGCATTCTCTGGCACCTAAGATTGGGTCAAGGGCTCAAGTGTGTAGATATTTGTAGTACCAGTCACACTACTATTCTCCTGGAGATCAGCTGTCATGTTGTAATACTACATTGGATTAAAGAGTGCAGAATTTGGCATGTGTAGGCTCTCAGTAAATATTTATTGATTGAATGAAAGGTAAGATTATTAGACATTGATGGCTGATGGCATCATTTTTATGAATTTGAATCTTAGTATATGAGCTATCTTCCTTCATTCTTCTGGTTGGCCATTTTCCCCTGTGTAACAGAAGAAATGGATCAGAAAGGGACTCTTGCAATAATCTGTGTATAGAGTATGTCCATCCTACTTTAAAGGATGAACCATTTACAGTCTCACACTTTTGAAAAGCTTTGTAACAGAAACAAAAAGGTTACCGGAGCCTAGAAGATGAAAGGTTCAGTTACACAGGCTGAGTTCAAGAGATATATGGTATATTGTGGTGACTATAGTTAATAACAATATATACTTGAAAATTTCTAAAAGAATAGATTTTAAGTGTTCTTACCACAAAAAATGATATAAGTAATTATGTGAGGTAAAGCTGTGTTACTTACTATAGTTTGATTTGGTCATTTCATGATGTATCCATATCCATTTCTACATGTTGACTAAATAGTTAAAAAAATTAAAAAGTGAAATAGTGAAATCATCACTTGATATATGAATAAATCACTAAACATACAAACTAAAGCTTTATCTCCAAATATTTATTCACTTAAAATGTTTTTTAATGTTTCAGGGATGTGTTTGCTACTTTTCGACAAGTGCCCGTCACCATACCAAATTTTATAATGATCCAGTGGAAGCTGTAAAAGACATCCCTGATGGTTCAACCATTCTGGTTGGTGGTGAGTGATCATATTGTTTTCCTTTTCGTGGTGATGTCTTTATGCTTTTCGCAAAGCCTAAAAATCACAGTAACCAAACTATTTATTCATTCTTTTTATCTGTTACTTATTGGATTATCCTTTATTTTATTACAATGTCCCCTTGAAAAATTTAACAAGATTTTAACACAATATTATACTTTTACTTTTGTGTTTTCTTTTCCCAGTTATTTTCAAAAGCTGAAGCTTTAAAGTAGTGACGTCTTATTGGGAGCTTTGAAAAATTCCTAAATTCCTGGGAATGTTTTTTAACTTGAAACATTTATTGGGACTGGGGTTATAGCTCAGTGGTAGAGCACTTGCCTAGCATGTGTGAGGTCCTGGCTTCCATTTCCAGCACCACAAAAAGTTATTCCTTATTTATGAGATGGAGAGCATGGCACCTGTCTGTTGTTAAGACCCCTCACCCCCCCGAACATTCTATGGCTGCTTCTGTTTGAAAGGTCTTTTGAAACCACCATCGTACACTCACTAAGCTTGCTGCCTAGTTCTTTTTTAGTATATGTGCTGCCGAAGTGAGCATATGCCTAGTTCTCATAAATGGGATCAAGGCTTATTTTTAGGGTTGCTCTCCATTCATTCATTCATTCATTCAAAGAAATAAAAATCATTGGCTTAGGCTTTCAGTTCTGCAATATCTATACAAAACAAACATACTTAAAGTAATTATATAAGATTTGAATTATAAGTGGGACAATAATAGATTTGTAGCACAAGAACCTGTTGCACTTGACTTTATGCTTCAAGGACTTGAAAATGATATCTGGCACTGTATAATTGTATAAAACATTTGGATCCAGTTACTTGACCATTTATTTTATTTATTTATTTTTTTAGTTCTTTTATTGGTACATTTTAGGTATACAATATAATGACATTCATCATTGGAAATTTGCACCTTTACATAATCTCTCTTGGTTCTTATTTTCCCCCCCTTCCCCTGCCCTCCCTTCAACTCCTCCATCCCTCCCTATTTACAAAGACTTTGTTTCCATTTTTTCATTTTCTCATATTAATTCCATTCCCTTCTTTCCTTTCCTCTACCCCTCCCACTTCCCCTTCCCCTTTGCCCGTTTTCTTCCTATTTCACGTTATCTATTATACATTTAGTCCTTATTTACACTTTCAGTTTCTCACACTAGAGAAAATATTTGGTATTTACACGTGTGTCCTATTTATTTCACTTAAGAGTATCGCCTCATTGTGCATCCATTTAGCTGTAAATATCTCTTAATTTATCATTTTTTATGGCTGAGTAGTACTCCATTTTATAAAAAAACACATTTTCTTTATCCAGTCTCCAGTTGATGGGCAGTTGGGCTGGTTCCAAGTTTTAGCTATCACAAACTGTGCTGCTATGAACATGGGTTCACATATATCACTGTGGTATGATTCTTTTAATTCTTTAGAGAATACACCCAGTAGGGGAATAGCTGGGTCAAATGGGACTTCCAGTCCTAGTTCTTTGAGGTATCTCCATACTGATTTCCACAGTGGTTGCACCAGTCTACATTACCACCAGCAGTAGAGCAGTGTTCCTCTTTCCCCACAGCCCCACCAGCATTTGTTATTGGTTGATTTCATGATAGCAGTCATTCTTTCAGGGGTGAGGTGGAATCTCAGCATTGTTTTCATTTGCATCTCTCAAATGACCGGTGATGTTGAACATTTTTTCATATGTTTATTTGCTATTTCTAATTCTTTGTTTGAGAGATGTCTGTTCATTTCAGATGTCCATTTTTGGATTGGATCTTTAAATTTGGGAGGTCTGATTTTTTTAAGTTCTTTACAGATTCTAGATAGTACACCATTGTCTGAGGAACAGCAGGTGAAAATATTTTCCCACATTGTGGGTTGTCTCTTCACTCTGTTGGTGGTTTCTCTTGTTGTACAGAAGCTTTTTAGTAAGAAGAGACTCCACTTGTTGATTGTTTGTGCCAGTTCATGGGTAACTGAGTTTTGTTCATAAAATCTTGTCCTACACCAATGTCTTCAAGCGTTCTACCTAACCTCTCTTCCAGACAGAATAGCATTTCTGTTTTAATATTTAGATCTTTAATCCATTTTGATTTTAGTTTAGTGCATGGTGAGAGGTATAGGTCTAGTTTTAATCTTTGGCAACTTGAAACCCAATTTTTCCAGCACCATTTATTAAAGAGGCTATCTTTCCTCCAGTGAGGGTATTTGGCTCCTTTGTCGAAGATGAAGTGGCTGAGTGTGTCTGGCGTTGTTTCTGCATCTTCTAATCTGTTTCACTGGTCCTCAGGTCTGTTTCTTTGCCAGTACTATACTGTTTTTATCACAGTAACTTTGTAGTATAGTTTCAAATTGGGGGTTGTGATACCCCCTGCCATGTCTCTGTTACCTAGAATTGCTTTTGCTATTCTGGGTCTCTTCTTGTTCCAAATGAATTTTTGGATTGTTTTCTCAAGGTCCATGAAGTATGGTGCTGGGATTTCAATTGGGATTGCATTGAATCTATATAGCAGTTTTGGAATTATGGCCATTTTCACTATGTTGATCCTTCCTATCCAGGAGCAGGGGATGTCTTTCCATTTTCTTATATCATCCTCAATCTCTCTTTTCAAAGTGCTCTAGTTTTCAGAGAAGAGGTCTTTGATTTCTTTTTTTAGGTTGATTCCTAGGTATTTCAGTTTTTTGGATACTATTGTGAAAGGAATTGTTTGCCCTATTTCTCTCTCAGTGAGTCTGTTGTTCATGTAGAGGAAAGCTATTGATTGTTGTGTGCTGATCTTGTATCCATTTAGTTTACTGAATTTGGTTATTAAGTGTAGAAGACTTTTAGTGGAGTTCTTGGGGTCTTTTGTCATGTCATCTGCAAATAAGGACAATTTGGCTTCTTCATTAGGAAATGAATTATTCCTTTTATTTCTTTCTCTTGTCTAACTGTTCTGGCTAATGTTTCCAAAATTATATTGAACAGGAGCAGTGATAGTGGACATCCTTGTCTTGTTCCTGATTTTAGTGTGAAGGATTTCAGTTTTTGACCATTTCTTATGATATTGGCTGTTGGTTTTTCATTGATGGCTTTTATCAGATTGAGGTAGAGATTGTCTATTCCAATTTTTTGTAGGATTTTTGTGATAAATGCATGTTGAAATTTGTCGAATGCTTTTTCTGCATTTATTGTGATGATCATATGGTTTTTTCCCTTGGCTCTATTGATATAGTGTATTACATTGATTGATTTGCATATGTTGAAGCATCCCTGGGATGAATCCCACTTAGTCAGGGTGTATGATCTTCTTGATGATCTTCTGCATTCTATTTTCCAGTATCTTTTTTTTTTATTTGCCAGTATCTTATTAAGGATTTTTGCATTTATGCTCATTAGTGAGGTTGGCCTATAGTTGTCTTTTTGATTTGGGTCTTGCTCTGCTTTGGTGATCAAGTTGATGCTTCCAGGAATGACTTTGGGAGTATTGGTCCCTTTCCATCTCATTGAAGAGTTTAAACAGTAGTGGCAGTAGTTCCTCTCTAAATGTCTTGTAGAATTCAGCAGTGAAGCCACCAGGACCTGGGTGGGCTTTTCTTACTTGGTAAGTTTTTAATTATGTTTTCAATTTCAATGATTGATACTGGGTTCTTTAGAATTTTTAGTTCTTCATGTTACAACTTTGGTAATTCATACATATCTAGGAATCCATCCATTTCTTCTGTGTTTTCCATTTTATTGGCGTATATGTTCTCAAAGTAGGTACTGATGATTGTTTGGATTTCCGCTGGGTCTGTTGTAATTTCATCCTGTTCATTCCTAATTGCGTGGATTTGTGCCTTTTCTTTACTTTTTCTGATAAGGTTGGCTAAGGGTTTGTCAATTTTGTTTATTCTTTCGAAGAACCAACTCTTGGTTTCATTGATTTTTTGTATCATTCTCTTAGTCTCCACTTCATTGATTTTTGCTCTGATCTTTATAATTTACTCCCTTGTATGAGCTTTGGGTTTGTCCTGCTCTTCTTTTTCTAGAAGCTTGAGGTTCAGCATCAGGTTGTTT